AAAAGTAGAGCTGCAAAACTAGTCGGGCTTCTCATGTGTGATGCATGCAACATGCTACATCTACTGGATCATCCTCTTGGAAATTTTTTGTTATCCCTGAAGAAAATAAGTAAGGTGTGCACCACCCAAACCAAACTAAACAAGCTTGTGAGACTTGAAAGTTGAAAGAATGGGACCCTGAACCTTCCAGGACTCAAACCTGTCCATTCCCAAAGTCAGTCTCTGAAAACATGTTTCTTGAGCAGAGCCATCTTCTCACCTCATTTTCTGATGTTTCTCACCAGCCAGTGCAGGACTGCAGTCTATCTGTTTTAAGAGCCTGCAGCTGCTGACATAAGATAGCAATAAGCAATACATTGCAGGTTTCCCTTTCCGAATTGCCCTTGGCTGATTTTCAAAGACTGGTAACTCCTAAGTACTAAGGAAAACACCTTCTTCCTTGCTCCCCACCACCGCAGTATCCCACCCTGCACCATCAGAGCGAGAATCACTGCTCTCAGCACACACTCCTGCTCCAAGAGCTTTCCAGCTGCTCCAAGCATCTAGTGGGTTTTTTTGGTCAAGCAAGAACCTAGCCATGCCTCCCAAGCAGCAATATGGGTTGCCAGGTCCTGTCCTCCAACACATTTGCTTAAATAGCATTGCTGCACCACAGCATGCAACTTTTATCTCTGGTTTGGCCTCGGGCATGCAGACTCCTTGAGCATTAGACACGTTAACTCCTCCTCTGTTAGCAAGCAGAAAGAAAGAAGTTAGAAAGCAAGTTAGGAAGACTGTATCTTTCTTCCCCTTCACCCCTAAGAGGCTCAAAAATATCATACAGGTCACAGAAGGGGACTGAACATTGGCCTCTGACTTTTCAAACAGAAAACAGGCAGGAGGTTTATCTGAAAACACACACAGAGAAGGTCTTTAAGTGTAAAGGAGTCTGTGGCATTTGGGATGCCAGCAGGAGAACTGCCCCACTCACACCCCCCACCTTCAGGCCAGCTCTGTGCCTGAAGCCATGCCCAGCGTGGGAGATGCTGGAAACAAAAAGCAAAGAAAACTGCTCAGCTGTTTAGGCTGGCTTAAAGTGAATATTATTGGCAGGGTTTAAGCCTAGAAAGGTTTTAAACTATGCGTCTTCCCAGTGTGCTCCTACGATGATACAAGAGGCACACAGACAACCATGAATCACAACTGTTTGCTCCCTACGGACCCATTATTAGACACAAGTCTCTGACCGAGACATCAAGGTAGGCGCTTTCTGTATACAGGGCAGATAAGACAAAAGACCTCAAGGGAGATGCACATCTCTGTCTGGAGTGACAGCGTTACTTAATCATCTGGCCTCGTGAAATCGCTGAGAAAAAAAAAAACAAAACGTCACGCAGTTGTCACTTGAAAAGCAAACTTCAATATTAGCAGCACACGCAGACTGGTCTCTGGAAACCATCTAAATAGGTGGCAGTCTCAAACATATGAAAACTTGAGCAAAACCATGAAGGAGAAAAGGATGGCTAACCCAATTCTATCATTGCCACTTACGAATTATTCACTGGGCTCCAGCCCACATGCACGAGGCACACTTTTTAATGTGCCATAAGAGTACATTATAAATGGCTCCCTGCCATCTGTGCTGGAAAGTCCCTTGGGCACATACTTTGCAGCAATCCTATAGGGGAGAACCACGCTTTGGCCAACCCATGTGCCTACAAAGGGAATAAGGTCCTCCGTTTGCCCTGCAGAAGCTCTAGGGTAGTCACAATGGAGGCCAGCACACTTTCTACCTCCCCTGGCCTGTGGCATTTCTCACCCTTTCTAGATACTTTTTTTCCAGCACAAAACATCTGCAAAAATCCCACAGAAGCAACAGAGGTTTAGGGATTGAAAGAGAGTGACAAGGGAACTAGTTCTGTATGCAGAGCCTAAAGCCACTGTGTCCCCCGTGGACCAGTCCCATCCCAAAGACCATCAGGTCCCCAAGCACTCGGGGAGCAGAAGCACGCTGGAGTCACTAGCTGCGATAAGCTGATCTACCTCTTCTTGTGCACGAAACATTACTGTCTCCTTGCTGTATTTCCAAATCTGATTTCAAAAGTTCAGAGGAAAATTACATCAGTCTGAAAATGCCAGACTGATTGCTGGTGCCAATTCTTTCTCTCATTATTTTAAACTCGGGAGAGAGGAAGGGGGTCAAATTATTCTGGAGAAAACCACATTTTTTTCTGGAAACAATCCCTTCAACAGTCCTAACCAGAGGTAGTTTCTGCTGTCGAAAGCTCCCATGCACAGAAGAGGTAGTGCACCCAGCACCCCGCTGCCTGCTCATTCTCTGCAGTCCTGAAATTAGCATAGGCTTTTTGGGACGGACAAAAGCCAAACCAACAAAACAGACCCTGGCATTTCTCTGCAGTGCTGGGTTAGTGAATACCTGCCAGCAGGACTCCAGCAGGCAGACCTAGCCCACAGCATGCAATTTTTTCATTTTCTGCAGCCAGCAGTTCTTGTAGCAGGAATTCTCCTTATTGCTGCAGTTGGCCTTGTGTCACTACCTTTAGTGACTCAACTTCATTACACCAGCCTTCATGAAAATGTAATCATACCACCAGAAAACCTGTGTCAGGGAAAGGATGAGGCCCCAGACCTGCAACTCCTGGTGGTAATTTCAGGGTGAAGATGAGTGGACTGAGACTCTCTGAAACCCCATGTGCCCTGCCTGTTCTTATATGAGAGAGGATAGCTGAAGGTGAGGCTTTTTCAGAGATAGCCAGCAACTTCAGGCATGGCCAGGTATGGACCACTCCACCCGCACACCTCCACTACTTGCCCCGAAGGACATTTTTCAGAGGCACCTTAAGAAAACAGATATCTACTTTCCACGCTTCACAGCTAGTCTGATTTGCAAAGTCCTCCTCTACAGATGCTTTATTTCTGGCATGGACAAACTGATGATCACCCCTGGGAATGCCAAAAGAGCACATTACTGGAAAGCACAATTGATGTTAGAGCTCCAGCAGATAGGCCTGGTTCTCCTCCTGAATGAGTGGTGGAACCAGTCAGAGAGACAACAAAATACAGTCACCACTCCTTACTTTGGACAGGGGTTTGATTCAACGTCCTGTTGAATCAAACATGAGAGCATACAGATGCAATTTCAACACCACACAGCAAATTAAACAATTGTGGCTTGATCCATTAGTATCTCCCTTGACTGCAGCTCCACCAGGGTAAACAGTGAGACTGCCCAGAAGCTACACTTACCCACTTGTCCTTAGCATGAGCCACGTTCATCACAGGTCTACCATTTCCTATAATGGACCTTTCAATACAAGGCTGGAGGCAATAACTGTGCAAGGGGGTTATTCTTGGCCTGATACACAGGGAGGCAGCAACATGGATAAATCTTGCTGCAACTATGGGGAGTTTGGGACATAACTCACAAATCAGGACCATTTCCTCACAGTCTGCACTGATCAGCAATGTATCATCTCCTCTGGTGCAGCTACATTTACTGAGGTTTATGTGGATTTAGCTCCGCACATCAGGGAAAATCCAATGTCAGCAATGAAATACTAATGCAAACCCACTAACAGGAAAGTATACTTTTTCCAGCAACAGTTACTGGCAACAGCCTTCACAATGGGAAAACAGTAAACAGCATTAGGACCATGACACCCACTGATCTGCATTAAACAGGTGCCTTCAACAGGTGGCATACTGCCATCCACTGATCCTTCTCCAGAAGATTTCCTGCCACATCCATCAGCAGCAACCCCAGCATGCCTTTATTTCCTCTCCTTGAGATACAGCCGAACAATTTGTCCAACACTTCAACAACCCAGTCTAATTACCAGGACAGGTATCAGATGAAGTGCGATACAATTGCACTCTCCTGCTGCTGGCTTCCAAGCCCACGTATGTACACCTGGGTACCAGGAATGAAATCCAACCCTGCTCCAGCTAGCATTCTTCTGCTCTGCAGTGAGGATTTGCCAATCTCCGTCTAGCTATTACGCTGCATACCACTCCAGGTCTCCTGGCTAAGCCTCGTCTGTAAGGAGAAGGTAAGAGGTGGCTCTGGTGATCTGGCAGCAGCCCTTACGGTCCCAGATGCCACTGGTTCACATTCCTGGAAGAAGACACATGCCACTAGGGAGCCCTGGATTAAGTGGCAGGAAGCAAGCCAGGTAGGCAAAGGGAGAGACCCTAAAACACAGAGCATGAGGGACAGAAAAATCTGCATGGCTTATGGAAGCCATGTGATGTGCCTGGTGTGCTGATGTGCACAGAAGGAGATGTGATCGTGTTTTTGCCTCCCATCACACCTCCAAGTGACAGGGTACAACAGCAACTTCGTGCCTGCGCCCAAGATGACAGCTCTTTTCAACTGCTGGGCAAATGAAGGGCAGACAGATCTGAGCCCCGGACAAAGGAACAAACTAGTTTACATGATCTCTGCCTGTATGGTGCAAAACCAAGGACACAGTATGCAGTGACATCTCCACCCTACCTTGTAGAAGCAGTGACAATGTGCCATATCTCACCAGCCTGAATCCAGTCACTTTAGCATCACAGTGCAGAAGAGGAATTAGATTTCCTAAAGTCACTCAAAACAATTTTCTTAGGGTAACTGTTTGCAAAGTTAGGATGTTTTAACCATTGGCATTTGGAATCAAAACAAACTTTTAGAAATTTCCCTTTCCCAGCAGGAGAGGCCACTTTTTTTTTTCTTTCTTGTTTATGCAAAGAAGTGGAGGGATCTCCAAGTAGCTTAGTGTGAAAGGAAAAAGCCACAAATCCTAAAAGTGTGTCCTGCTGGAAGGAAACATATTGAAGACTGCAGTAATTATAAGCTATGAGACACAACCACCTCCCCACCCCCCACATATTTGAAGAGGCCACAGTCCAGCCTTCCATGCTGTGGACTTCCACCCATTTCAAAGGGAGGTCGGCACCAGGTCTGACTGGCTCGGGCTCCCACCCCAGACATTTCCCCAGGTTGAAGATCCACTTACCTGCCTGGTTTGTGGTTACATTTACAGACACAAACTGCCGGGCTCCGGGGTTCTGGTCGGACACTCCATTCACTGCCTCAATTTCAAAGGTATAGTTTGTATGAGCAAGCAGATCCACCATCATGACAGAGGTGTTTTTCAGGCCGGTTTGCTGGGGGAGGTACCTGACATGACCGCCACACGCCTCACACAGACCTGAGTGTGAGTTGCACTTCTTGCATGCAATATAATAAGACACATCTTTCCTTCCACCAGTATCAGCAGGGGGAATCCATTCCAGAAAGACACTAGTCTCGTTAACATTTGAGATGGCACTCCGAGGAGCAGAGGGGGGTCCTGGTTTGTAAAGTGAGAAAAACACATGGTAAAAACAGTATTATCAGTCATCCTGCTCTCTACTACTCTCTAGGCTGAAAAGAGATGCCCCGTTGCTCACGTGCCAAAAAGTACAGGACCATTTGTAGCAACACCCAAAGAACTGGGAAAACAGGGATTTGTTTTGAGCACTCCCACCTCACCTCAAGGAGTCTGTGTTGGGATGCAGCCACCTGCATAGGAGGCCAAGACATGGGGCTGGCTCAAACACAACAGGAGGAGCACTCCAGCCCAGGGCATTGCCTTCGGTGCTCTCCTTGCTCTTGCTGTGAAGGGAGCTGCAAATCTTTGCTCTGCCCAAGTCACCGTCAGCTTCACCAGGGGCAAGATTCCCCCTCCTCACTCCATAACTAGCCCTAGGTCCTAAAAAAAAGATGCCCACTGGGGTATTCATGCTGCTTAGGTACTCAACTCAGACCCTGAATCTGTATGTACCCCCCTCTCCCCAACAGCTACTTGGCAACAGTGAAACCTAAGCTTGGGCATCCAAATGACACCTAAGTGAAATGCTCAGTGTAGCCCAAAGCAGATGGTGATCTACACGAGCCACTGGAAACATGGCCATATCTGGCTACTCAGCAGCAGCCTTCTTGGTCCCTGCCAAGCTCCAGAATGGTTGGTTAGCCACACCGTGCTTGCTTATTTTGCCAAGCCTCCCTGCTAAGGATGCCAGCGTGGTGCTGGCAAGGCTATCCAAGGAGGAGCAGCTGCTGCAGAGGTACCAGGGCTCCTGCAAAAGGCAAGCTCTTTTCCTTTGTCCTGCTGGAAAAGGCCACAGCTGGGCAAGCAAAGCTCACCTGGAGACACCTTCAAGACTGCTTACTTGCAGAAGGTGCTGCAAACTTCTTGGTTTTAGCAGACTTGTGTGGGACATGAAGGGCAAGCTGCAGATACACCCTGAAGACAACGTGAAAGGAAAAGCAGGAATCTCATGCAAGAGATTCACATGTTATATGCTCAGGGAATGCTAAATGAATGAGGAAGAAAGGGGAAATTTATCACATCAAGCCAGGATGGACTTTAGTCACAGCACCACCAGAAGCCATACAGAAAAGACTGGGTTTTTTCCTAGGGAGGTAGAGGAGGGAAGGTAACACACTCCCCTTCAGTTTGAATAAAGCTGTCAAAACCCATGAGCAGTTCCTTGAAAAGAGCCCAACAGGTAGCTTCACTAGCTAGAAATCCATATGAATTTAACAGCCTGTCTTAGGCTGTCATCTCCTCGTTTTGTTGTGATAATTAAACTCGATTCGTTATTTAAAACAGGCAGTGTTGCAAAAACTAAATTACTTTATAAACCAGAAGTATTTTCCTTTATTTCCCTTTCCCATTTCCCTTTTTAAGTCTATAAAATTGGTAACACTGATAAAACACTGTCATGATTTCCACTCAAGCTGTTGTGATTCAGTGAGAAACTCACTGCCAGAGGAAATAAATAATCCTGATTTTTTTTTTTTTTTTTTTTTTCAGGGGAAAAGCAGGGGAAAAGCAGTTGAAGACAAAAGCTAAGTTAGTTTAGGAAACGGCAGATAAGATTTGTTTTGTTCTGTGATAGCTTCAGATCCCTACGAACAGGAAGCAAGCTGCTCACAGTCTGCGCTGCAGGGACCCAGTACTATTTAGTTAATGACGCCAAGGTACAGCCCAGGTCAAAAGTATTTTCTGCACTGTCATACTCCTACTGATATAATGGAAACTATGAAATTCATCACTGGAGCTGTGTGGAGTTATATATATTGCACTCAAGGGGGTTTTGATATGTTTTTTACCAGTTAAATTGCCCTATTTTTTCTTTCACTGGATGAATGCCCTTTTACTGCTACTAGTACTCTAGGACAAAATAAAGAACTCAGGCGCAAGAAACACTTACTGGACAATGTGTCTTTAATGGGGGATAAGTTATTACTTTTGTAAAGTCACCAGAGGTTTTCACTTGCTTTGGACAGAAGAGCAGAAGAGTCATCTGCTCTTCCTGAAGGCTTAAAAACATCAGCTTCAGTGCAAGTGCTTTGAAGTTAGTGGGACTTCATAACCTATAAAATTAGCATTCTCGCAGGGGTTCAGAGAAAGGTTTTTCATAGTCGACAGATATCCAACAAGACCTACTTGAAGAATCCTGAAGCTGCACTTCAGTAAAACTTTGATAAATCACAGTTGGAAGAACAAAACAGTGGTTTACCTTCAGAAGAGGGGGGCCCTACGTCTGCTAAGAAGGTCTGTTTTAATTTCTAACCTTCTTTTGTCAAGGACAAAGGTACTGGATTACTGGGTTTTTAAACATTTTTTTTTTATTTTTAATTTGCTACTTTATACTCTAAGCAGGTAAGATTCACCCCTTCTGCACCACAAGTGCAAATACTTTCTGAAGACAAAGACATTGGTATTTTTCTTGATGGACAGCAAAGCTGTTGCTTGCTGATAAGCTTTAAAAATATAACCCAAGAGAGAAATTACCCTGAAGATACAAATATATATATATATATATATGTACACACTCAAAGTGAACTGTAAACTTTTTGCCAGTAAAATATTACACTAAATACTATAAAATCTTCAGTTTGTCCCATGTGTCATACTATTAAAAATATTTCCCTGATATTATGAACAGCAACAGGGTTACTTGTCAGAGACAGGAAGGGAAAAAAAAGGGTGCAAGTAGGTTTTCATATTAAAGTGATGTTGTGCAAGGAACTGAAGCTAGAATTACTTAGTTAAGAAGAAATAAAGCACAGTTACTTCCTGAAAGATAGATAATAATATTAAGAGAATTCTCAAATGCCCATCAAGACCAAACATTTCTTTTGTATGAGTTCAATAATTATTTCAGCCTGCATCACAGCACTATTAATTTCAAAATTACCAATCATTACTTATAAAATATCCTCAAGGATCTAGAAAAATGAAATAAAAATTATAACAATGTATTTCCCCCCCCCCCGTACTTAACTGAGCAGTTGACAGTGATATAGCAATTAGTTTTCTGTAGTGATGCTGGTAGTGGTGGGGAGACTCACACAGCTTGGGACTGAAATGCATTCACTTTAAATTAGGAAAATGTGATTTTATAGCTATACCCACTGTCAAGGGGACTTTACAGGTGTAGAGCTGAAAACAGACATTGATATATTCTCTAAAATTAACTGGATCTCAAGATGAAGGAATCCTATGAATATTATTAACTTCTACAGTAATAAATAATAAAAACATACAAAAAACTTGCAATATCTTCCTACCAGTCATGACTCAAGTCTGTCTCGCTTGTGTTTCAGTTTGCGATGAGATGTTCCCTTCCAGATCTAACTGGACTGGTTTGAAACATTAGTGTCACTACCTACTCTTTACTGTCCTTGCAAAATTTACTACCCCTGCAGCTGAGCACATGGGCCCTCCTCATCACCTTCGGCACAAATATAGCTGGATTAGGACAAAATCTCAAGAAAGGATGTGTAAGGCAAGCAAGGGTGACTGAAACACATGGAGAAGGCTCAGATGATCCCCTCTGCTTTAGGGGTAGTAAGCATGAATGCCAGCAGAGATGCTGCTACATCGTCAACTGCTGCACTGGGGTTTGTAGTGGGCAACAGAAGGAGTGCCTTGGTCAGCATTAAACTGCTCACCTGTCCCAGAAGCACTTGGTACCCTGTCAAGCCATATCCTAATACAGCTTCAGGCGCCATGCCTGCACTTTAAAATAGCTTATAGTAAGCTTTCAAAGAAAACCCCAACCAAATCACCCCCTCCCCCCCAAAAAAAACAAAACAAAACCCACCAACGAAAACTACCCAAACATTAAAACCCCCAAACAAACTTTAAAAAAACCCAACAAATAAGCAAAACAAACCCAAACAAACATAAAAAAATCCCACGGTCAGAAATTACATCCTTTAGCTACAGGATTCAAATTCCACCAGAAACCTGGGGTGGACAGGCACTGGAATTTTGTTTCTTTTTAATATGAGCTGGTCACCAAGCTTGCTTGTGCCTCTCTGAAAATTCAGCCCTACGCTTAGATCACAGGCATGCATAAAGCTCTTCCTCAGGATGGCAGGTCCTTCCCTGTGCTAACTCACCAGCAGGACAGACTGGATGCAGACCCCTCCATCCTGAGAAGGGGTAGAGAGCAACAGCACCGGTGGTGGGCAGGAGGCACTGTGGACACTGCAGTCTGGCATAAATCTCTATCAGTCCCTGGCTTTGGTTCTGCATGCATAGAAAAGCTGATTTTATGTGTGTTTCCAGAGCTCAGAGTACTCCTCTGCCTTCCCATTTCCCAATACCACACCGGACCTCATCATCGCTCATTTATCTACATTTTTTAAGTCAGGTTGAGAGGCAACAGGGACATCAAGAAGCCCTGGTATCAAAGTTTTTCATACTATAACCCACCCTAGCTACTGCTCCAAGAGACACTAGCATATCTATTTAATAAATTGAGAAGCCCTTGCGTAACTCTCCCTTCACACTTTGATCCTACAGCACCAGCTACTGCCATGCTGCCTAAGGCTGTCTTCTCCTTCCCTGCAGCACACCTTCCAACAGCTTCGTGCTTCTTCAGCTAGTGAAAAGCAAGCACAGAGTTCAAGGGCCCCAATTCTGAACTGAGTGCCTACTGCAGGAAAGCAGAGACCTGCCGAGGGCAAGTTCCTTTGCAAGAGCATCTCTCCAGCAAGAACAGACTTTTTCTTTCTCTTTTTGAAATGCAAACTTGTGAAGCTAGGAAGGACATCTGTCTTGACCAGGATGAAAGCACAAAAAGCCACTGCCATGCCTGCATGATGCAAGGAGACACTATGGAAGCCACCTCTGCATCATTGCCCAGTGACTCTGAGTGTGCAGGGACTCCTAAACCTACTTTTTCCTCTAACACTTCAGTTTCTTGGAAGCTCTACCTGCTCCTACCTCAGTAATTCTTCTGTCCTTTAAAAACACATTTGCATTGCAAAAATCACATTTGGATCATGACAGACCCAGCTCAGCAAAAACCTGTGGTCTGCGCTACACTCCGTGGGACTAGCTGGGGGCATGCAAATTGTGACCCTAAGTATCTGAAACATAAACTGAAGAAGAAACTTTCAAGGTACAGCTGTCAGGATAGCTCATAGATGGCAGGAAATGAGCAAAAATAGTGATTCTGATTCCACTGACTCCACCTGGGACCCAATTTGATTGTTATACTACCCTCCCCCTTCACCAAGGGGATAAGCTCTACATTTTTGCTGCAGGTTTGGAGAAGCAGTTCCCATTGCAGTTTTGAGGTTACCCTGAAGAACAACCATCACCAGGCAGCTTGGAAAGGTTGGGCGCTCTCCCTGCTTGTTTACCAAAAATGACCTAAGAAATGATACTTAGCAGGACCATGTAGGCTCTACCCATGCCTACCGCTGACAAGCGCTACCCATTGTTGCCTCCACATATGCACGTGCTCCACGCTGGTACCCATGCACACACTATGTGCATGTCTGAATGCCATGCTGCTGGCTGAGTCTGCCCATGAGCAGGCAGCGAGAGATGGAGCATCTGTTTGTTACAAAAATGCTTCCTAGGTTTAATGCCAGCTTTTGAAGCAAAAGGCTTTAAAGTCTGTTCCTGGGTAACCCGGGGTACGGTGGACAAGGCCAGCAACATTACAAGTGGATCAAGACTAGGTCAGACTCCAGTCCAGAGCCTGTAAAAGCACGCTAATTAGGATCATAATGTCTAGTCACAGTACAGGAACAGCTCAAAAGGATTAAAAACCCTATAAGCACATGCTTACTTGTACAGGCCATTGTAGGTGGGTCTGATTCCTTCCTAAAATAGTGTTCTTCACACAGGCAAGATGTGGATGCTTCATCAAGCGTGTAGCTGTGAGGGGGACATTTGCTGCAGGATGGACTGTGGGGTGAAGCTTTGAAGAACCCAGGTCTGCATACTGTAAAAAGAAGAACCACAGGCTAAGCTCTCCCATCATAAAATTAGTCTCTTCACATTTCCTTTTAAAAAAACCCGTATCTTCAGCTAGTTAACAGACACTCATGAGCTATTTGGTTTGCATATTTTAAAACAGTCTATGCCACTAATAGACAGTACATACTTAAATATTTTCATGAAAAGAGAATGAGAAGTCGTTGATTTTCTTCCCCCTAGCATCTGCTTTTGCTGGGTATTTATTTTCCTTGTTGAATGCATTAGAGAGAACATTTTTGGGGCTCTGCTTTAGAAAACATTATTGTATTTGTTGGTTTGTTTTTTTTTTTTCCATTCAATCTTAGAAAAACAGGTAAAATACATCTCATGGTTATTGTTTAAGATGTTCTACACCCAGAAATCAATGCCTCAGCAAACAAATAGCAACATGGTGGTGGAGGGGATCTCAAGATCGACAGCTTTAAGACATTGTGATAAGGCTACTTCCCTAGGGCCTTTTCCCCTGCAAACCTGTGATGAATTTTAAAGTGCTTCATATAAGACAGACTGCTCAAGGTATGGCCTGAATCAGGCATGCTCACCATACAAGATACTCCTTCCAGCTCTAATACATACGCATGACAAGGCACAAAGACTTGATACAAGAGCTACTTTTGTTCTCACAAATATAAGACTAAGGGTAGCTGCTTTTTTTTTTTTTAATAATTTGAAGTGAATACAGTAATGTCTTGTTTCCAGCCTCTCAGCCTACTGAAACAAGTGCTCTTTCACCTAAGCAAAGCACTCCTCTGCACTTCACCTGCACACGCACACTCAGCCAGGATCAGTTACAGCCACAGGTTTGCACATATCCACCCTGGCCTTAGAAAAAAATCCAGCTGGCCCTGTAATTGTACCGTTATATGTAGAATTACAAACCCACTGGTAGCAAAAGGAGGAAAATGTGATGTTCTGTTTGTCTCAAAAAGCACAGACATGGAGACAGTTAAAGGAACTCCAGAGTATTGCTATCTTTTATCCTCCAGAGATGCTCTAAAATAATTCTGCCCACTATGACATCAATCATGCACAGGTCTGGTATCAGACTTACAGAAGTTACCTGGAAATCCCAGAGCCTTTCCATCTGCATTCAAACTTCCCCAGTTGTAATTAGCTTGCAAAGAAAATGAGCTCACAGCAAAAGCATTATAATATTATCCCACCAGGAATGTCCCAGACAATCACAGCATTACGGTCATGTTCTAAAATTCAGCCAGTGATGACAGAATTAATCTTCACCTTAGGTAAAATACAGGGTTTTTACTGGTGATCCCTTTTCCTCTGATGGACCAACTAGGACAACTGCCTCTAAAGTTGGCTCTGCTTCCTGCAGTTCCAGAGAAACTCTCTTGACATCTTCCCTTTCATGTCACAAGCTTCTTCACCAAAGGTGAGACACTTGCACATTAAATCCAAATTACTAGAGCCAACCAGAAAGCCTTTGCTGATTAAGATCATTCATGCATCAGGAGGGGTGTGATCCAAAAGCATTCCACAGACCTCCCCCAGACCCCATTTCCAGTCTTGCCCAGACCTTGAAGCACTCACAGCAGGTGCCATGCAACCCCAAAGCACTTCCCAAGCTCACCACAGGCTGTCAGGTCTTCATCATGCCTCTGTAGCCTCTCCATCCTACTCTAGGGGATGCTTATCTCTCACATCCCTGCTGACCTCCCCAAACTGGGTACCCTCCCACACCTTCCCCCAGCTCCCTTTTCTTCCCACAGGACAGGCAGAGAACAACTAGTAGGACTGGAGGGCTTTACAGCTTTTAAAGACCAAATTTCCAAAATTGTTCATCATCCAACCAGTGCTCCATACCTAGGCTGTGAGCTCTGCAGGATGCAGTTCATCTGCTTTGTGTCCATAAACCAGGACTGGTGAACAGACGTAGGGCTGAATATATTCTTGATGGCTGTTAGCAGACTTGCCATGCTTTATGGCACATTCCTCCATTTCTAGCACAGAGTTAAGTTATTCTATTTACTTCATAGCCACCTTGAAATGCTGCTCTACCTACATCAAGGACTTGTTACACAATCTCTGGAAAGTCTTCTGGGAGAGGAGACCACCAAATGGCTCCTTTCTTGCCTACAATTTGTATTTCAAAGCCAAATCAAATTCACTTGCACACACAGACAATAGAGATACAGAAATAAAAGCACAAAAATGCACAACATTTAATGAGGGCAGCCCACGTCTAGGGTGTACTCAATGTAATTAGCCTTCAAAAAAGGACTGGAATTTATCTCATTATGTCCCATCAAGACAGACAGAAAATCATTACAGCACAAGAGTTTACCATGCTTCTATTTTGTGCGAAGCAGCAAATACAAAATAAGTCAGTTTTCCTTGACAGATTTTCAACGAGATGCAGCTTGTTAACGACGGTATGATACGTAGCTCTGCTCAAAGGGAATGTTTGGTTTTCATGAATAAGTATGGAGCCAACAGATGTACAATGCCAATAACCCATGTTTTAATGAGACATGAAATAAAACTGAACTAGTATAATCCCGCAGGCTCCCATGGGTCAAGCAAGTTCCTTCTCTATCCAAAAGATATAAGGAGGAATATTGGAGAGAATTAAATGATACTGAAGATTTCAACATAACATGATTTCCTCATGATTTCCTTATGATTTCCTCCTAACAAACAAGCCAGCAGAGCACCATGTTGCCATATCTAAGTGAAATAGTCTTGTGTCTGTTATAATGGAAGAATTCAGGTACAGGAGACGTGATATGCAAAAAAAGGGAGGACAGAAAATAAAATGGAAGAATTAGCACAGCGAGTGGTAGTGTGCTGAGTCCACACCCCTGCAACAGATGCTTTGAGGAGGACAGAGGATGATTTGTAGGGTTCCTCCAGCACAGCCTTCTACCTTCTCACAACCAGTAGCTTGGGGACCATTCCTGATGGAAACCACTCTTGCACTACCACGCTCAGAAGCTGAACGGTAGCTGCATGGGTGTTTCAGGCATAACTAGTATCTGTTATAACACTTTGCTCTGTACTCTTTCCTCTGTTTGCTTTGTACATGACACAAAGGAGAGGATAGCTGGTGAGGAGGCTCAAGCAGCAATCCGCTAATAAGAAGAGATGTTGTGATGAAACTGATGCTGTTAGGTTGAGAGCTGACTCAGGAACACTGCAGACCAGGTATCATGGTAGCTGAATGGACACAGTCTTTTGGCTCAACAGCCAAAAGCAGGGGCTGGTACCCTGCCATTTTTCTGCCACTGGTGTCAATGTCTCAGATACTTTGGAAATTGGATTCAGAGCAGAACAGGGCCACAAACAGCTTACCTTGCATGCACCTTGAGTTTTGGTTTTATATCTTACTGCTCCTCTTCTGTCAACCTTATAATCTCTTCATGAAGTATACATGACTTTATTTAAAATTACATGGGTGTCTGGGGTTTAATTTCTAATTAAATCTTATTTTAGTCTTCTTATATTTTTATCTCAGTATTTCTAATTTGACAGCTCTTGAAAGGATACGTAGAACTAGCACAGCACAGTCACACACATAATGGTACTATCTCTCTTTTCAAAGGGATGGAAAAAGGAAGAGAAATAAGATGAGCCTAAGACTCCCCATAATCTGCTGCAAGACAGCTGAAAAGAAATTAAATAAAGGTTTAAGCTGTTGATGAGATCTGCTTCTTTCTTTCTAATATTAAAACTGATATGTCCTTAACTGATTAACAGACATGTGAAAACAGTCTTTAAGTGAAACTGGTTGCTAGAAAAAAAAAAAAAAAAGTATTTCTAGGCACAGCAAATATGCCATCAACAACCTGCTGGTGTTAGGTATGAGTGGGGTATGTTTCTGTTAGTAGCACATCCATTATTAGCAAATTAATTTGACACTTTTTATTTTTAGTAGCAACCACAAAATGTTGTGGGCATGGAACATTAACATCTGTGCAGCCACCTCCTTGCACACTTCAGGACAGGCCAGAGAGAGATGGCTGCAATGAGGACAACAGCAAGAGCCTCTTGGGACAGCAGTGACGTGAGGTGATTCCTTAAACTGGCAGCAGTTGGATTAGAAATTGGCTTCGTACCTTGCAGACAGGAGCTCACAAGAGCCATGCTGATAGAAATTATTTCTTTGAACATGGATAGGAGGAATCACTGGTCCTCTTACAGTGAAAACTGGCCTCTTCAAACAATGTACTGAACTTTATGTGTTATATCAGTACTAGAGAGAGTGAGTACCAGTGACAGGGTGGGGGGAGGAAAGCAGGCAGAACAAGCCAGTAAAATCAAACAGCCGGGACTACTTGACAGATTATTTTCTGCAAGTCTTAACATCAAATGATTCACAGATGTATCCCTGTAACCATCCCTGTGCTTCTGCTGAAGTTTGTATCTAACAGGCAGGGCTTGGTTTGGCTCCTCTCCTCTCGGTGGCCCCACGCCTTCCATGCACACCTACCCCAGGCAACAAGTTCTGGAAGCAAGGACCACCTCTGAGGCTCTCTGTATCCACAGGCACATGCATGGCCACGTTGGTAAAACCACCCAGTAATATTAGTGAGAATTCCAGTTTTTGTCCCTGTAGGAAACACCACCCCATAAACCTTGAAACCCCAGGAGATATGAAAAAGGTCCAACCTATTACTCCCTTCGCACTCTTGCGATGCTGGGAGGATAAACTCACAGTACTTAAGTGCTTAGGATCAGCAAAATGACCCTTCATACATCCCAGAAAATAAAACTCAAACAGAAATTACACTGTCTCCCTTGCAGAGCACCAAATTAGTCTCCACAGTAATCAGAAATCACAAGTATTACTCATAAGGCAGTGCTGCTAATCCGTAAATAAAGCTAACAGACAAAATCTAACAAAAATTAGTGAGGGTAAGGATGCTCAGTCTAGACAGAGCACAGGTTATCTGGCTGAAATTGAGGTTTCATTGCCTAACTGCAAACCCCTTTTGCTTCTCCTTCCCA